TTTACCCATATTAGTAAATTATCATCACAACCTCATCCTATTTTTCAGTTTCACAGAGAAAAAAATAAAACTGAGTCTTAGAAACATTCAATGATTTGCTCAAGGTCACTTACAAGATAGAAGATCGATAAGTGATGAGCAAGATTTGAACACAAAATTGTAACTACAGCTGCACTTCCTCTGGTTTGTGTTGTGATACATTATTACACCATCATATGTGCCTAGCACATGAGCAGTTACAGAATGCTTTTCACATTCACTAAGAATCCTCACTACAACCTCCTGGACAGTAGATGTTAATGTTACCCTCTCATACCTCCAGTGGTTAAGAACAGGGGCTCATAATCATACCAGCCTATATTAGAATCCTTGCTCCATCTCTTACTAACAATGTGACCTTGAGCAACTTAATTTTATCTTCTCTGGGCCTCCTTATCCATGCCTGTAAAATGGGTGACCACAATAATACTGTCTCAAAATCTGTGGGATTTAAATTAGAAATGGCATTTGATTCTTTAGCACAGTGCCTTGTGTATGATAAGCTATTGGTCTACAGTCCTTGGTGGGAAAGGCCCCATGTCAGGGAATCAACCATTCTAGGCAGGAAATAAGAAGGTATCAACAAAGAGACAGGCCAGGAAGGTCTACAGAGAGCCAGACCAAAGTCCTGGATAAACCTAGTGGGGTTTGGGAAGAATTCCCTTAGTGATAGGGTTCAAGGCTCAGAAATGTAAAGGGCATAGGAAATACATGGGTTATTTTGTATCTTCTGCTATCATTTCCTTTTCTTTCTCCCTTCCTAAAGTTCTTAAAGAAAAAAAAAATCTACCTTAGTAAAGACAAAACCCACCTGCCTCAGCAGGGGAAACAAGGAAAAGGATGTTCATCAAGTTGTAATAATAGTAACAATGACAAGGGCTGGTATTTATTCTGCACTAAGAATGCTCCAGGTCTACACTATGTGCCGAATATAACTAAGTTCATTTAACTACGACCCTCTGGGCTGGGTACTATCATTTTCTTCCATTTTACATGTAAGAAAACTAAGGCTCAAACAGATGAAGGAATTTGCCAACATGATTCAGCCACAATTAATAAGTGGCTAAAATGGAATTCAAACTAGAGGGGAGCTTGGGTCCCCCCCCCCCGTCCCCTTAGGAAAGTGTTAACAACCTCACACCAGAAGAGGCTGACGAGTCTTCCCAAGCCCATTTCTTTCACTTCGATTTCAACTTTTCAAAGAGCCCTGCCAGCTAAAGAATAACTGAGAATGGGGCCAGGGATTTAGCTCAGTGGTTCCGCTGCCTGCCTCCCAAGCCCAAGGTCCCGAGTTCGATCCCTGATACCAAAAAAAAAAAAAAAAGAATAACTGAGAATGGCTGAAAGTTAGACACAGCCCAAACTGGCATTGACGTGGACAGAAAATACAATCATTTGCAACTGGACAGATAACAGAAACATTCCAGTCACACTGGGGTGTGGTCTCTCAGCCTTTGATTTGTTTTTGTTTTAATTAAAGGTGGTCAGCTCAATAGCAGAGTGCTTACCCACTGTATGTGAAGAAGCCCTGGGTTCAATCCCTTGCATTGCAAAAAATTAAAATTAAAATGCAAGTATCAGAAGTTTTTTTTAAATTCAATCCCTGCCCCAGAAAAAAAAAATTTTTTTTGAACTTGCAGCTCAGCCCTTGGGAGACACAGCAATATGTAGAAACAGGAATGCTTCAGACATAAAGGAAGTCCAGGATGTTTCAGTTACCCAGAAAGATGGCTTATCTTTGAGATGTGCAGCATCTGCGGGACCCCAAGGACAGCTTATGTTGAGTTTGCCAGTGCAGTTGAACATACACACAGCCGTCCACCAACCCATGTCTGTGCCACTCACTGCATTGATCCAAGGCTTGGAAAACATCTTCCTTATGTAAGATCACTTTTGGCTGCTAAGAATCCTCAGCCATAGAATTATTCATTAGCTTTTTCAAAAAAAAAATCATTATTTTCATCATAAAAACAATACAACTATGTTACAGAAAAAAATTGGAAAAGAGAAAAAGAGAAACAAAAATAGTCTGTAATTCATTCATTCTGTCAAAACCACTATTAGCATTCTTGGAATATTTCTTCTCTCCTGGGCTCTAGTTTTTGCCTCATTATAACCATGAACTCACAATTGTGCATCCCTTTTTGTTGTTGCTTTTACCTAATACCACATTGTAAACATCTTTTCGGGCTCATATACAATCTAAATAACTATCATTTTAATAACTGCCGAGTAATGCTATAGTTTACTTAGCTCTCCTATTGATGAGCATGTCACAAACATAAGCAATGCTACAATGAACATCTTTGTACTTAATTGTGTTCTTCTCCAGGATTTGGAATGATATCCTTCTAAAACAAAAGGAGTGAGCAGTTTTTTAAGTCAGCATTCAGGCCACAAGCAAAGGAGAGTGTCTCACTGCAACACTGTCGATGTTGATATTATCTTTTTAATCCTCTCTTAACAGGTTAATAAAAAAATGATGCCTCTTTGTTGTTCTAATTTGCTTCCTAGTGAGGTCCACAGGAAGGCAGATAGTATCATGTTACTTTTAAGAGTCAAGAGGTTTGTATTCAAATGATCTGGGGTTGAATATCAATTCTGCCATTCCCTGAGCTAGGCTGCCTTCTCTCTAGCCCAACCCTCTCTTTTTTTTTTTTTAATTTTTATTCATTAAGTTTATTGGTACACTTTAGGTATACAATACAATGACATTCATCATTAGGAATTTGTACCTTTACGTGATATATCTTGGTTCTTATTTTTTCCCCATTCTCCTGCCCACCCTTCCCTAGTTACAAAGACTTTGTTTCCATTTTTTCCTTTTCTCATATTTTTTTCCTTTTCCTTCTTTCTTTTCCCCTACCTCTCCCACATCCCCTTCCCCTTTAGACCTTTTCTTCCTATTTCACATTATCTATTATACATGTTGATCCTTATTTACACTTTCCGTTTCTCACACCAGAGAAACTATTCAGTATTTACATATGTGTGACCTATTTATTTCACTTAAGAGTATGGCCTCAATGTGAATCCATTTAGCTACAAATATCTCGTTTCTCATTCTTTATGGCTGAGTAGTACTCCATTTTATAAAAAACAAACAAACAAACAAAAACCCACACATCTTCTTTATCCAGTCTCCAGTTAATGGGCATTTGGGCTGTTCCCAAGTTTTAGCTATTACAGACTGTGCCACTATAAACATGGGTGTGCATATATCCCTGTGGTATGATTCTTTTAATGTATGGGGGTAAGATACCCAGCAGGGGAATAGCTGGGTCAGATGGGACCTCTAGTCCTAGTTCTTTGAGGTATCTCCATACTGACTTCCACAGTGGTTGCACCAGTCTACACTCCCACCAGCAATGGAGAAGGGTTCCTTTCTCCCCACAACCCCACCAGCATTCGTTATTGCCAACCCCCTCTTCTTACAGGTAAAGTGCTGAGGACATTCCACCTATCTGCAGGGTTGGCGTTAGGATTACATGAAAGCATTTTTTAGTCCAATTTCTGGCACTAGCACCATGTGTTTCTGGTTGCAATTTATCAACAACTTTAAAGCACTGAAAAGTCATATTATACAGTGAGTAAGCAATATGGCGGCTCTGAGGATGAAATAATGAACAAATCTGGGTCTTCTCCTTGGAGAGGTCCCTGTCTGATGGGATAAACATGGAAGAAAGAACTGGTAAGAGTTACAATAAAGCTTAAGGAACATAACGCTGCCCTAGAGGTATAAGTTGAAGGAGCTCAGGGACAGCCAAGCCATATCTGGGGATGCAGGGAGCAAAAAAGACATCATGGAAAAGGCACAACTGCATGTGGACGGACCTTAAAGGGGTAATGCTCTGATGGGTAGACATGGGGCATTCCAAGTAAAGAACTGTCATAAACAAAGACCCAAAACTGGGAAGTTTCACTCAAAATAGATATGGGCAACAGCAACTAGACCCATTGGATTTGTGGGCTATAGACCTGGCCACACTGGTGATCACATCTGATTGCAGGGAGAGCTTGCTTTGTGGAACTCTGCTGGCTCCCCATCAAAACTAACATTCAACATGGCCTGGCTAGGGGAAAAGAGTGTTTAAAGTGCAAAGCTCTCCTCTTAGAGCTTACTCTTAATACTCTTCTGTATAAAAGGATGCTAATCAATAAGACTATCTCCTTGCAAAACCCCAGAGCACTAATCTGTGCCTTGTCACATTGGAATGCCCTAACACATTGAGGGGCAGAGGATGCTGTACTTCGCCAGGAGAATCCCTTTCTCGTGGTCTCATTGCTTCCTTTTCACAGCTATCTTATAGCTGGAAGCAGTAGATGGTTAGCACTCTGGACTCTGGAAGGAGTAGATGTGTCTCAGCTCCACACAAGAAGTTTTAACAAAATCCACACACCCAGACTTAATGGCAATATATCCTCCTCCATCAGTATATCCTCTGCCATCTCCAATCCTAATCAACAGTATGTCCTAGATTTTCTCTCCAGTCCTGTCCACACTCATTTTGTGTTTAACTACAACCTTGTCTTATCTCCTGTACTCACCTGGTAGATGGCAAATTCCTTGAGGGCAGGGATATAATTTGCTTGTTTTCTTTGCTCCTGTTCAAATACCCACTCCAAAGTAATTGAAGCAAAAAAAAAAAAAAAAAAAATCAAGCAAACAGAGACTTACCTGGACACAGGTGAGACCTGGTCATCATTAACCAGATAGGGACTAAGAACTCAAGCACTGAAGCATCCTTAAGCCTCTCTTTCCTTTCTTCTCCCCTTACTCTTTCTTCCTCCTCCTTTTCCTCCCTCTCTCTCTCCCTCCTTCCTCTCATTTTCTCTTCCTTTCCCCCTCTCCCCCTTTTTCTTCTTTTCCCTCTCTCTCCTCATGCACCAGGCTTCTATCTCACCCTTAGACATTTACACATCCATTGCACCTTTGCCCCCTGTAAACCAGCTCTACTTACTCAGAGCCCAGAGCAGCCTCTCTACATCCTCTCTGTTCCACTCAGCAGTTTTGAGTACCTCAGGCTCACTCCAGTCTTGATTCTAAATTTTAGAGAGAAGACAGAGAACAAGATTAGCCCAACTCATGTCAGATCTCCACTGGCCCAAGATTGCCCACGATAGCTAACATTTATGAGGCTCTTCCTAAGCACCAGGCACACTTTAGAAACTAAAATGCATTAACTCATTTAATCTTTGCAACCAGCCTTGGAGGTATGTGCTATTATGAGCCTCATTTGAAGATGAAGTTAAGCACAATGATAAAAGTCTGATTTCTATGACCAAATACACATAGCTAGAAAGCGATGGAGTCAGGACATGAACCCAAGGGTTCTGACTCCAGAGCCCAGGATTTTAACATTATAGTAGATTGGTTTGGGGCACTGTGGACAATGAACAGCCCAGTGGGGAAACCAGGACATGATAGCCCAACCTCAGAGGGGGGTAGTTGTCAAAGAAATGCCATCCTTGAAAACTCTTTGCTCTTGCTCAAAGTAGTGGTGTGTGGCTGGATGGTGGGATGAGAGAATGGATGGATGCATGGATAAGTGGGAGATAAATAGGGGATGGATGGATGGATGGATGGATGATGGATGGAAATTGGAGAGTAACATCTCCCTACAGCTCAACCCATTCCATACCAAAGGACTTTATTAGCTAAAAAAAACAACTCTAAAAGTATCTTTGCCCTGCAAAGGGAATAAGGGAGAGGGGGACTAGGGTTACGTGTTGCCTGAACTTAAGAAATTTGATGCTGAAACACTGAAATTTCTGGGCAGAAAATGACAACCTGCAAGGTTTGCCTTTATTCCTGGGATTTTTGAGAAAGGGAAAGGACATAACAAAATGCTTAGAATGGTTAGGCTATTACAGAGAAGACAAAGAATGGGGCCCTTAGAAGTTTCCCAGTGGGGCAGAGACCAGCTGGTAATGGCACCATGATGAGGGGCTGCTGTGATGAGAAAAGGGGAGGGTAACTGGACACTAAAATCTGTGGCCTTTGAGTCGACATGCAAAGACCCCCAGAGTCAAGGGCAGTACAAGGACTGAAGAGCATCCACCTTCCAAACCCAGAGCAGGCTTGGACTGGAAGCCATTCCACAGTGACCAGAGGAGAGTGCAGACCAGAGTGGGCTGGGTTAGGCCCTGCAGAATGCTGGCACTGCTCAGCAGCGGAGAGAAGACGAGGGAAAGAAACTCAGTGAAGACTTGAATTAACAGAAGTGTATATCTCCTAACTCTTGAACTGTAATTTAAATATCTGTTCCAAGGCACTTCCTATTTTAGTATATGGGCTGCTGAAGCAAGCACCCAAGGCACTTCCTGAAGCCCAGTATGCCACTACTTGTCCCCAAGTGGGTAATGGCTGCATGAGTTCCGCTTCTCCCAAGCATTTCCCATGATTCAGCAGCTCTCTTCCCATGCCTCTGCCTCGTGTGTACCCTAAATACAAAATATATTAGTCTTATTCAAATACTCTTCACTACTGAACTCTCCACCCAACCTGCAGGGTCCTTCAGGAGATGCTCCCCACTGCACCCTAGCTGCATCCCCCATAACCCCTTCCACTAGTCACACGGGCCCCCTTTCAGCTTGTTAAGCAAGCCTCTATGTCACAAACATACTCACGCACAAACACACACCTCTTAACTCTCCTTCAGACCTCAGTCTCCTGAGAATCTCTTCTAAGACCACAACCTTGGGTCTTCAAATCAGTGTACACATTGAAGGTGGTTGTGTTCCACTCCCCCACTACCCAGTAAGCATTCTTATTAAGTCAATAGTGTATTTTCTAATCGGTGGTGCATATTAGATTTTTTTTAACTACAGTAGTTGTTGAATGAATGAAGCCTAAGCCCTCTGCTCCTTCTTCTGCAGCCCCTTCTCTGCCTCTGAGACCAGCCTGCTCACTCCCTTATACCTTCAAGCCAGCCAGTCTTCTATTGTAGTCATCAATCCACAGCCACACTCAGAAAACTTCAGACAGAGCTGCCTTCTTTACAATGCCTGCCATTTCATCCCGGCGCACCTCACCTTGCCCAGGTTCAGAAGTTCTGATGCCCTCACCTGGGTAAATCTCTGATCCCTAACACTAAGCAGCCGCACACACAACGGTGTTTCCGCAGAAGAACCAAGTTGTTGTGATTTTTTTCAATGTTCTAGACTGAATTATTATAGCCAAAGGGAGCCATTCATCAGCTTTGACACTGCAGGAAGCTTCCTGGGCAAACAGCTTTATTGCTGGGTGAGATTAACCCAGACTGCAGTAATTTGTAACAAAGATAAGAAAATTGCACTGGTCTCTCAGAAATAAATCTGAATTCCAGAGTGAACAAAGGGGACTTCAACTTGAAATCTGCTATTTCAGATATAATCAAATTTATAACAGCTCCTGGAGACTATAAAAAGCTAAGTGCATCTTCCGGTTGGACCTACCATGATGAAATCAATTAAAGTGAAATTCCTAATAATTGAAAGCTCCCACCCCCATCTAATTTTTATAGAAGACTTTTTGGCCTATTTGAGAATCATCTCATCTACCTGACTTCATGACGTGGGGAGACGTCATGGGGTAGTAAATGCAGACTTGATGTGAGGTCAGGCAAGCTGCCTCTTACCAGCTGTAAGATCTTGGTGAAACACGATAATGCGGGCCCCTCCCAGAGCTGTTGTGTGGGTTAAATGGGATAAGAATGCAAAATAGAATACAGATGTTAGCTATTAATGAGAGCTGGTTAACCTCACAGATTCGATGGGCCACGCTCTTACAACTGCTACTGGGTGGGGTCTTAACTGTACTAGCTTGGCCTCTTTCCATCCTCCCAATAGTCACCCAGAGGGCCCTGCAACTAATTCCATTAACAAATGAAGAAATAGAAGGCCAGAGAGGTCATGGAACGTATCCAAGGTCACATGCCAGTAAATGACCCGACATGGATTTGAACACCTACTCTTGGCTACTACACGGTGCTTTCCACGGTGCAGCACCAACCATAGCACCAGCCATAAGGATTAGAAAGGTGATGGCCTTGTGGTGCCACACCCAGCTGAGCACACAGCATGGCTACAATACACCTATGAGTTAAGTACCTTTCCTAGAGTAATAATGAGTAATACTTTATACTATATTATATTATAGCACTTACATGTCCGAGCCACAGTGCCAGGAGCTTCACACACATCTCATTTGGGACTTACATAGACATGGGGGAAAGTGGACACTGTTACTACTACCCTGTATGGATGAGGGAACAGGCTGAAATCACACATTGGTAAGCAGTCGAACCAAAAGTTTAACTTCAGCTATAGACTTCCTTCTCTATTGCAGGATGAGATGCTACTATGATTCAGATAAAAAATGTCCCCCAAAGGGCTCATATGTTCAGAGGTGGGGCCTTTGGAAAGTGATCAGATCATACGGTCACTGATCTCATCAATGATGAATTCATGGCTGCATGTGCTATTAGGAGGCAGGGCCTCACTGGAGCAAGTAGATCACTGGGAAAATAACCTGACAGGGTGTATTTTTGTCCCCAGACCCATCCTTGCTCTCTGGTTCTTTCCAACCCTCTCAGCTTCCTGGGTGGCATGAGATGAGCAGCTTTCCTCCACCACGTCCTTCTGTTTCTGACTTGGAGCCAGCCAACCATGGACTGAAACTCTTAAACCAGGAGCCAAAATAATCCCTTCCTCCTTTAGGTTGTTTCCTTGGGTATTTGGTCACAGTGACAAAAAGCTAACAAACACAGATGTCACAGGAAAGGCCAGAAACATCAAGAGCATTGGGACATGAAAAGGGGCCAAAAATCTTCCCACAAGAGGTGACTCTTGAGCTGGGAGTTTGTCCAGCAAAATCTCGTATTGTCTTAGGACCCAGAATGACCCACCTGTGCTAGGCACAGGCATCCCTATCCAGCTGTGACAATGCAGGAAGATGGCCAGCTCCACTGAGCTGGCTGTGCACATTCACGGGGAAGGCAGGGCCTCAGGCCATCCATCCTGCGCATCCAAGCCCACACGTCTGGACCAGAGTACGCATCAGCCCTCACATGTGGACTTGAGCTGAGCCCATAGACACTTGGACCTCAGAGAGCTTTTGAAGATTGGGTCATCAGAGTTCCTCACTTTGCAGGAAGGAAACTGAGGCTCAATGAGAGAAGGGCTGGGTGAGACTTTTCAGATTCCATGTAGCTGTGGGCCACGGGTCCCAAGCACAGGTGGCAGGGAGGAAGTGGCCTGGGGTCAGGAGATCTCAACCTTGGTATAACGGGATCTAGGCTGGGTGTGGGTTAAGGCAATGACTGAGCAAAAGCTGGTAGGAAGAGGCGATGTAGCTTGGAGGTTGTTCCCAAATAGGTCTCGCTGACTGCACAAGTTTGAACAAGTTCGCCTCTATGAGCCTCAGTTTCCACATTTGGAAAATGAGGATAATAACCTCCACCATAAAATTACTGTGGGATTAAGGAAAACGATGCACATAAAGAACTCAAAACAGAGACTGGCACATAATAAATGTTCACCTAATGATACTGATGACTTAGGACCCAGTTATGCCTTCTTTGCCAACCCCAATCAGTAACCTAATGAGCCAGTTCCTCTCTCCTCACCCTATTCATCACATGGTTGCCAGCTGTCACAGGCTCCAGTTCCAGACTCCCATGGAACAAAACCTACAATCACCTAGGTTCCGGGAACAGCAGAGCCTCACAGACACCCCCACAATGGGACCACCTTCCCCCCAGCAAGGACAGCATCCCGTGAAAATTGAATTCCCTTTGAGCCACAGGGTTCCTCTGGAGTTGTGGAGAGCAGAACTGCCCAACCCTGGCCCCCTCTGCTATTCCTTAAAAGCTGACCTTGTGCTTTTGTTTTGTTTTTTGTTTGTTTTGTTTTTTGGTACCTGGGATCGAACTTGGGATCTTGTGCTTGTGAGGCAGGCAGTGGAACCACTGAGCTAAATGCCCAGTCCCCTGACCTCGTGCTTTTGTGAGCAGGCCAGTCTGTACCCCTGCATCAGAGCGAGCCCCCTCCAGTTACTCAAACTGTGGTCTTCTATTTTCCCTTACCATCTAACTCTGCCTATTCCTCACACCGATGCACCTTGAAATTCTTCTTTTGTGATGTGAGTTTAAAAACTACTTGGCAGGCTGACTTGAGGTCTTCATCTCCTCTTTGGGGGACCTCCTTGACCCCCTCTGGTGACAGTACTAGACAAGCTTCAAATTCACCCTTTTTACTGTTCCCAATATCCATACGGTCTGGAAAACAGGGAAAAATGCTCCAGGATTCCTCAGTGGAGCCACAGAACCTTCCAATTGGTGCATATGAAAAAGGGGTTTGAGTGATTCATTCTAGAAACTTTTGCAGGAAATTTCCCTAAAATGCATCCAATGTAGAGGTGAGCAGATGACTGGTCATTTTGCCAGCGACTCCTCCAAAGCATTCACTTCCCCTCCAACTCTCCCTTCTTTAGGGTCCATCAAGACATCTCTTTCACACTTTGCCCGGAAAGAAAGTAAATATTTTTCAATGAAATTCAGCAATCAATTAAATACCGTCTCTCTTTAATACGAACGTTGAACCAACAGCGGCTGCACCTTCCAACAAGAATATTTAAAGCAATTAAACTTTACCTACTTTTAAAACAAATTCTTTTAAATGCTAATGGCCATTGTTTTCTCACTTCATAAGTAAAATTTTGTGTCGAGGAAGGTTAGATGATTGCAATGATTTAATTGTACTTCTCAAAGAAAGGAAAATGTTAAGAAAAAAGCTAAGATGGACCTCTTACCACATTCCTACCGCAAAATGTCCTGTAACAATAGAAGCGTGATTTGCTGAAATTAAAATGCTATTATGGTGAAATTAGGGCTTCAATATTTTTAGCAGCTTTAATAGGCCTTGCATTTTAAGGGACATCTGATAATAGATAATTACATTTCATCTTAAAGAAACTGAGTTGTTTTCTTAAGGAAAATACTTTTCTTTCTTCCAGAGAGGTTAAAGCCGAGCCATCATTAGAAGCAGCACCAAGCCCGAGGTTCCTGCTTCAGCTTGGGAAATAGAGATTAGCATATAAATAGCCTTCGGTGCCTGCTTGATTCCAGCTATTTTGCGTTTCAATGTGGCATCAGAATGCACTTAGCAAGAAATGTTCGAGAGGAGAAAGAGGTTTGTAATATGTCGCTTTTATAGAGGGGGGAACTTTAAGTATAAAAGATCATCCACTCCTCTGTGGGCTTTTTTTTTCTGTATCCTTTCAATGCCCCAATTACAGACTCCAAGAACCAACAAGCTCCCTAGAACAGAGCCTTAGTTTACACCGCAGCTCTCTTTAGACTGGGAAAATAAGTCAAAATGGTGCACAGGAAATAGGATAAATATGTGGGCTTCCTCCCGGATTAGGTGGGGGTCCTGGGGTGGGGTGGGGGCACAGCCATGCCCTTTCTCCTCACCCCCTTGCTACCCATCAGCGGCGGGGATGTGTAGAGCCCCTCCAGGGCCCATTTGCTGGAGCAGTGAGGGAGACTCCTGGCTTTCTGCCTGGAGGCGAGCTTCTCTCCTGGGAAATTGCTGGGACTGGGCATGGAGCCTAAGGTTGTCTTTGCCTCCCCTTCCCACCCCCACTCCTACCTACACACACACACACACACACACACACACACACACACACGCAGAGGCATTCTGGCTATCTGTGGCTCGGCTCAGTCTTGGGTTCCAGCAAGATGATTCCCAAACCTCCTGCTTTTTCTGTTGAGCACAGGGCACTGGACAGCTCTGAAAACAGTCCTGCACAGCTGTTTCCGGGACAGGGCTTTCCTGCATGTGGCACAGGTGGAGTATGGGTGGTAGTGGTGCTGCTAGCCTGGTTCCTGAAGTGGTTTGGGCCAATCCAGAACCTTGGCTTCCAGTCCAGATGCCCCTGGGGAGTTGTTTGAGATGTAGTAACAAGGGTTGATCCCTTTCCCACCCATCACAGAGGGACACAGCTGACACTCCTAACAAAAGGTTAACAAGAAGAAAGCGTAACATATTTACCTGATCATAGCTGTATGTGACACTGGAACCTTCAGGTTGAAGACTCAACAAGCCTGACTCAACTACCCATTTTTATACTTCGGTTTCATGAAGCAGGGATGGCCCTGTAGAAATATGATTGGACCAAAAGGTTATGATTTACCGTAGCCAACTGAGAGGGGACAGCCTTGTAGCATTTCCTCTTCCCAGGTATGGGGCAGGACCCCTCTGGAATGAGGGTCTTAGTTCCTTTATTGCCTGCTCTTACACAGATTGTGAAAGGAAGTTTGAGCAATATTTTTGGATTTATGACTGACTTTGGGGAAAAGTGGATCCGGTTTCTATGACTCATCTTGGGGACAAGGAATTGTAGTTTCTTTGGCTTGCATCAAGGAAGAGAAGGGTGAGAGTCAGGAGGGCAAGAAGTCAGGGAGCAGCTGCTCCTGAGCCCTTCACTTTGGAGGTGGCTTTCTGAGCCCTGCTCAGTCACACCAGCTCTAAGCCTGAGTTTCTTCATCTGTGAAAAGAATTCTAAACCCTGCCTGCCATGCTCAGGGCCATGCTAAGGAAGACATGTGTAAGCTCCCTCCCACATTAGTTTTATGCAGTTAGGATGTTTCTATGAGGTTTGTCCTTCAGGCCCCAGGTTTCTGCCTGTCTGACCACTCTCCCAGCTCCCAGTGTTCCTGGGGCTCTACACAGCCCCTCACTGAAGTGAGGGAAGTAAGGAAATGCTTTTCCAAAAAGCCACTTAGGAGGTAACTGATCGGGATGTTTGGAGATGGCTGGGTAAAGAAAAGACTGGGGTTGAAGGGTACACAGGGACCATGGCATCGAGTCCCGGCCCCAGCACCCTGGGTAGGGCATCCTATCCTGGGCCACTTCTTCCTCTCCAACAGGGGTAGTGATCCTTTGAGACATGTTTCAGGGATGTTTTGAGGCTCAACAGAGGAAGTAGGCAAGAAAGGCCTTTGGGAACTGTAAAGCCTGGGGAATCTGTTTGTTCCTTGTCCTTTCAGGCTGCAGCCAGAGGAACAAGCAGCATGATGGTGTTAGGCTCAGAAAATGACGCCACAAAATGTGCCATTTTGGGGTTCCAACTGAGAACTCCAGGGATCTGCACAGGAGGAAGGGGTTTCTCTGGAGCTCCCCTATCTACTGTGCAGCCCCAAGCTCCAGAAGACACAGACTGCTGGGAGTTGCCTCCCTAGACAGCTCATCAACAGGGGGATTGCTGCATACTTCAGGAAGGAAGACTCGAGAGTTGGTGCTAAGCCTGGAGTCCAGATGATCTGTGTCCTGGCAATTGTCTATTCTTTGGGTTCATTCATCTGCCCCCAAATCATTTACTTGTCCTCTTGAATTGCTTACATCCCCAATTCCCTCTTCTTTATGGAATGGGCCTATGAGCTTCCCAATATCATTGAGTGATCGGGTGCTCACTTTGCTCTGATGCCCACAAACAAGCAATACATTTGTATACCTGTTCTCATTTAACCTGTCTACTCTTCATTTATTTCTTAGATTCAAATACTGAACAACTAGAGGGAAAGGAGAAGGTTCTTTCACCTCTACCCTGGGGTAGTGGCAAGCTTCCAGTTCTGTCCCAGGCAACATCATCTTCCTAGCCCAATGGCCTTCACCACAGAGAAGTGCCCTGGCAGCTTGAGGGCAGGCCATGGTCTCTACAAAAGTCACCTGAGGGACTTCCTTTGGGCTCCACCAGGTCCCCCAGGTCCCAGGAGAATTGTCTTTATAGGAGAGTCACCAGCACTTACACTCGAGCCCTAGTAAAGCCAAGGAATCTAACCAGGCTACAATGGGATGCTTTGCTTGGGCTTCTCCATAGAAAAACGCCAATGTGCAAAATCTCTGTCCCACAGCATCAAACTCTCAGTGCAGATGGAAGGATGATACTAATTCTGGACTTTATACATGAAGACTGTTTGTATTCCAAAAAGCTAAGTGTATGGAACAAAATGCCTCCCTGCAGGAAACTAGAAGGGTTACTTGGATGCTTTGGTGACCTGCAGGGTACTGGGCTCATGAGTCCTTTCCCCATCTATAAAGTAAGGGCTGCCATCAATCCCCAGAGTCCCTCCCTGGCTAAACTTCTGTCTTTCACATACAATGACCCTCTTATGCACAGTTTCTCTTTTCACAGTTTTGGTTACCTGTAGTCAATCATGGTCCAAAAGCATTAAATGAAAAACTACCAAAACAAACATTTTGTAAGTTTTAAATTGTGTGCCACTCTGAATACTGAAATGAAATACCATGCTGTCCCATTCCACACTGGTAGGGAGATACTTAGACATTAGCAGGCCTAAAGGACAAAATGGGGAGGTCCAAAATAGCATTCTTTGCAAGTTAAAGAATCAAAGATTTCAATGTAGAATGCACTTATAATAATTTGTTAGGTTATAGACCTAACACGATCCCACAGACCACAATAACATTTCCAGGTTACACATTGTGCATATTTTTTCTGAAACCTGGCCACCTGGCCCTCTAGTTTCAGAACAAGGCATAGAGCATTCCTGGCTGCCACAGCCTACAGCCCAGTGATATCAGGAAAGGAAATGTTCTTTTTTTAAAGACCCTCCTAACGGGCTGGGACCCGGTTTAAATGAAGAATTTATCTTCCTTATATTTATTTAGTAACTTTCTTACATGATTAAAACCCCTGAGGAAACACTGGCTATCTAAAAAGAACAGGAAGACATTTTGCAATTCCAAAGTAACTTCTCAGTAAAATGTTGATAAACATCACAATCATCCTAGTTGCCTGAAACCCAGGAGTAACTTGTGTGCATAAAAAGGCATCCAAACTCACACTCGGTACAGATTCCTTTGTGGCACTGCCCACATTCTCACTTGAAGGTACAACTTTCTCTTTATCTACTTTACAATAAATTCCACCTATACCTCTGCATGGCTACCTATGTGTCTTGACTGAATTCTTTCACTGCAGGAGCAAAGAACCTAGGACCAAGGAAATGACCCTCTGGTTCCTCTCATTGTCACGACTCGGGTTCCCAGTGACAGCCTACCCTAGGATGTGAGTCGTTCCTCGGTCCAGAATATCCACACTGTGTACACTACCTGCCCATTAGTCATTCAGTAGCCTTCTTCCTCATCAGCTCCACTGACACAGTGTCACAGTGTCCGTGTTCAAGTAATCTGTATTTTCCTTAATGAGGGGCCCAAAACATGAGAGCAGTGATACTTGATTGTTATAATTGTTCTAATTCATTATTAATTGTTTTTAATCTCTTACTGTAACTAGTTTATAAATTAAACTTTATTATAGGTATGTGAGTATAGGACAAAACATTATATATATAATGGTTTCCATGGTTTCAGGCATCCACTAGGGGTCTGATAAGGAAGAACCACTATCTTACTATGCGCCTATGTTTCCTCTGGGCTGGGTGCTTCTTACTTTTGCCAAGATGCTCAATATCCTCGGTCTTGCTAATCCAGGCAACTATAATATCAGTTTCCATATAAATATATAATGGCCTTTTATTATCCTTGTTTTATACGTTAGGAAATCAAGGTTTGACTGACTTCTCCCGGTGAACAGCCAAGACGCCATCTCAGGTTCTGATTCAGCCAGCTCCGGACCCCTTGCTCTTATTCTTCACACTCTTGCCCTTTCCTGGGTGGCAGACTCAGTTGAGGACTGTACTCTTTACAATCAATACGATTGTAGGACAATCTGTATCTCCCCTGCTTCAAATTGTTTTCCAAATTGTTATGCAAAGAACACTAATTCTACTGAATATTAATAGGTTTTCCTTAGGAAAAGATACAATGATCAAATGCATTTGACAGTGGGTAAAACAAGTAAAGAGTTTTCTTTTTAGCTGCAGAATTCCTCAGGACCTTTAAGATATGAACAAGGTACATTCCAAATACAAGAGGGGAGAGGCATACAATTTTCCCAAAACTTATTTGTCCATACACCTTTGTCTTCCTTCTATTTTCTTGAGAAACTTGTGTCTAACTAACAGATTAGGGTTTTACAATTTTGCTCTTCAAAGTGTAATCCCCAGACCATCAGGATCAGGCCTCACCGGGCAGTCTGTTCGAAATGCAGAATCTCAGGCCCCACCTACACCTGCCAAATCAGAGTCTGTATTTTAAAAACACGGCTAGGTGGTCCACATACACATTAATATTTGAGAGCATTGGTCTGCACTGTACCTATCAAGAAACATAGCTGATCCATCACGGACTGTTCATGCGTTAGTCATCAAGCCATAAATTGCAGTGGAGATAAAACTATCAAGCATTAGTTGGCATCACGTGAACCAAATAACTAGACTGGGAATTAAGTGGAAACGCTGAAACACCATACAGATATAATCAAAGAGACTTCACACAATGGAGAGTTTCATCCCTTTGCTAACAGGATGCAGAAATGGATGGAGCTGAATTGGATGATTGATATCCTTTGCTAAAGGCATTCCTCCTAGAATGTAGACATGGAAAGCACTGTACATCTCTTCCTAAAATGTGAAAGGCTTTTAATTCTTAGAAGGAAGGCACCTCCATTTCCCTTGACTCCCTCTCAATTACAGAAATATTCAAGGTTATTGGGTATCCTTGAGTTTGTCACCTGGGATACTCTTGGGACCTAGGAGACTGTACTGACCTCTAACCTAGGAACTGAAAAGATAGCCTCAAGAATACATAAGCTTGTCTCGAGGTTTTAAAAATCACAGCTGAAATGACCCACTCATACAAGATAAGACCTATGCCTAAAGAAAAATGTCTTTGCTTCTGGCTCCAATTATTTCAGTTCATGTGGTTATACTCTCTCAAGTTGCTCTGGCATTTCAAGCTGCGGCTTGATATAACTTCAGTCAACAAAAGATGGAGAAACAAATTAGTTTTCACTGAATAGCTTCCAGGTTTGGGGAAGACAAAACCCTTCAAAGCATTTGTGCAGATATGTGGTAACTGGCCAGAAGACCCAGAGTTCGTAAATGATGGCATCTGAATTAGAACCCAGGTCAAGATTTTTCCACTATGGAAGCAGTCCAAGAATGCAAACACATCTTGTCATCCTCTTCATATTTGGCTCTTAAAGCTCTCCTCT